GTTATTATCTTCAATTTTGTCTAATCATGGCCCCCATATTTGACACTCATTGATTCGTATCTATGGGGTTATGTTAACATATTGTTGACCGGCAATTTTACACAGAAACTATAACTATAAATTGCAATAGATAATGCAAGTGCAGTGACGAGTTAACTCGTCACCGATCAACAATGCGTTAAAACAAACGAGTATAAGAAGAATATTTGATGCACTTCTCAATTACAAGCGAGAATCATTTGTCATTCGAAGAATTAAATATAGAAAATAAATTAGAATCCATTAGTTCCTAAAAATCTAATTTAGAAAATTGTATACGTAGCACGATGGATAAAATAGTTTTTACCAATTAATACAATTATAACAAATACGTTCTATTCATCCACCCACAACAATTCTATTTGTAAAGAGAAATTATACCATTCTTGTAAACATAAGTAGATTTACCATAAACAGAACTCAACGTGAAATCTCACACTTAATATTTAAACACATTGGCCCAAGTATTACACATAAAACTCTAATTAATTAGAAAATGAATATTTCTAGAAAATTATAAGCAGAGGTCGAATAACATTGTTCGAGTCACGATAATAATCGCAACAAATGCCGTCTGGAGGAAGATATTCGAAGTTTTTCTCGCGGTTTTCCCCCCCCCTGTAAATTGAAATTGATGTTTGACAGAGCAGAAGGAAAGCCTCGACAGGCTCCGAGATGAGCGTTCGGAAAATAAGGAAAGTTTTTGTTGCGATCGAACGTTACCCTCTGCCGCGATAAGAAACGAGAAACACCTTTTCTTCGGTCCCCGCGCTCGTTTCCCCCTTTTCTCAGATTTTTTTCTCTTCCTCTTACATCTCACATATTTCTGTGCATCCCGCGTAAAGTCGGGCATTTCATTTCGTTAAAAGGAGTATGCGCCAGGGTTCGATTCAAAGGCACCTGGTTTCCGTAGTCGATAAATTGTCAGAGACGTCCCCAGTTCGTTCTCGTTCTCGTTCCTCTCTCTCCTTTTGCCACAGTCGCGTTCTCACTTTTCGTTTTCGTTCTCGTTCATCGACTTCCATGAAATCCTACGCGAATTGTCGAACAACCCCTTTACGATCGCGCCCAAGTAATTATCGCGGGATAATGTTACTTCTAACACGCGGGTATCTCGTGTTTTCCTCGTTAACTAGTGTCCCACTATGTTCGTGAAGCCTTTTATTTAGTAAATAAAAGTTCAATACCATTTACAAACACCTGAATTTATTCACAAATATGTACATATGTTATCAGTGTAATTTCAATGTTCTTGGTTCGATTCTTATGGAGTTCTTAAGATGTTCTGTTCTTGAAGTGTTCTAATTTGGAGAGGCCTATGTCCCACGATTTTATAGAGATTCCAAAATAGGTGGAGACCTTGTGTATCCAATCGAACCCCTGTCAATCCCTCGTGGGCCCTCAGATATTCGAAATCCCGCCCACTAAGGGTGGTACAGGGGTGTACACGGTCCCAAGGGGTAGTTATGGTCCCAAAGTACGGTACTTAACGGGTTTATAATACTGCAATCTTCTTTGTACCATGAGGTACTTGCCAGATGGGTAATTAAGTAATTTAAAATAACATTAACTAAATGAGGGGTATGCTAATGCCAACAACTAGAACATTTCTTTATTCTTCCATCGTAGATTAATTATTAGGCTATGGATGTTTATTTGCCATCTCACATGTGTTTACAAGCTTGGAAATGGTCTTGGTGTCCTTTTCTTGCCTTTTTGTATTCTCAAAATACAGTCCATTCCCCAATTTTTCGAGGAATAGTTCTTCATAGAAATATGGTTTCACTAAACACTTTTCATTCGTTTATCAACAAAATTTAGAAACAAAAAGATACTCTCTGGCGTCCAGTGACTTCTCTGTATGAATATTTCTGAAGCGTATAGAATGTCAACAGCAATATTCGTCTAAACAAAATATATTCATCGTATGGGTTAGAACTACCAAACCAGTCAAAATGACCAATTTGTAATTTCTAATAAAACTTGTAAAAAATTTACTCGACTGAATTTTGGAACATTATAAGAGAACATATAAACACTTATTTCCATTGCATTATATATTTCTTCGCGTATCTATCGTTTAAATTTCTTTGGTACAAATAAACACACTATAATTGTCGGTAGTTCTAGTCTTAAGTCGTTAAAAATACTTATTTTCGGTTGTTCATCGAATCTTTGCAACGAATAGAGAATCGTAAAATTCGACAGCAACTTTCAGTGTGTTTCACCAGCCTCTGGTTGACGGTTCCTGTTCATTATTATTCATAATTCACGGAGAATCGGTACTCGCGTGCGTTTGCTCGACTCGCCTTGAGTTTGAAAAGATAATCGGTGCAATTACTCGGCGGCAGAAGGTGTTTTGTGTCTCGAGTGTCGTTGGCCCGGTGCTAACTAACCATTAATGCAAAACACCTGTACACTCGTGCTAAAAATTTCACATCTTCCAAACACCTTCGCGTCAAATCACGTTCAAACTAAATTATCAATACGTTATCAGAAATATTGAATTTATACTATACAATTAAAGTTTATTCAGAAAATAAAACGCTAACATAAGAAATCCGTTTCATTTAGAATTTATTTCTATCAGAATAAATAGTGCAAAATACGCAGATATTGTTCATAGACAACTTTTGAAATATGTACACAAAATAGCCAAAAAAAAAAAAAAAAATACATCTTTCAGCAGGCTAATGCAATATTGCAAAATTAACAAAAGCATTTTTCGAATAAAATATTTTGCTAGTATATAATAGAGAATTCTTGGGAATTCTAACCAAAGAAATATATTCCTCTGGAGGAGTATAACACACAAAAAAAAATTAAGAAGTTATAAAAATCTCTTCCTAATAGAATGTTGGAAATTGTGAAAAATAGAGGTAACAACGCAGAGTATTGAGAAATCATGGAATTTGTTGATCTTTTGCAGAAAATATTATAACTTTGAAGGTCAATATTTTTGTAGAAAAACAACTGCCCTCCTATTGCACTCGTTGATTTAAAAACAGCCAACTAGCCTGAAAACCTGGTTAATAAAACACTGTCAAAAGTCACCTCAAAGTCACGATTTTCGTCCTTTCAATATTTTACTTACAAAAACATTAAATATCTTATAACACTCGGTTCACTGAGAACTGGCAGGAGATATAAACAGGAAGTTCACGTTTAGAAACGTTTTTTAGTTGCCCAACCTTTTTTAAATTCAATCGAGATGATTTTATTGCAAATTAAAATATAATGCAACAAATTTACAGATGTAACAAATTTATTTCACAAACATTAGAACATCCCACGGTCAAAAACTGTAGAAAATGCATCGATCGTATTGTTCACGTTATTTAAACATAAACGTTGGCAATCGGACATAATACTGATACATTAACCGAATCATTTGTAATTAATTTAAATTTTGACAGTTCAGACACGGAATCAACATAAATTGTACGGAGTGATAATTTTAATTTGTATTTTCATTTGTCTCCTTATTTACATTATTATGTAATTAATAATATCGTATTAACACATTATCGATGGAAAACGAAAATTCTCGTTTCATCGAAATATACGAGTATTCTGCACAAGTGTCTATTTTTCTAATAATAAAAAAATTCTAATATCATCCACACGTAACTTCTGAAAATTTCAATAAAATATATCAATCACAAAAATACTTATCTCATTTTTAATATACACATGAAGGAATTCTACAAGTCATAACTCCGTTATTATTGCATTTCCGAAAAAATGCCAAAGGAAAAAGATAAATGGTTCGAAGAGCACTACATCTGTAGGCCTTTAAATTTTTTTTGTATGCAGCAGTGCATGTGCAATTAACAATTGCATAATTTCTTTAAATAGAAATGCATATTTTTTTTTACACAGATCGATTCTTCTGTCCATTCTACGTAAAAAATGATTAGGGTACCATGGCAAAAAAATTATTAGATCTCGAGATATTTTGAAAAAATGTCTTTATTGAAGAAGATGCTCAAACGCTTCTCCATTACATTCTAAACATTTCTGATAACGTTTTTTTATTGTTTGCATAATTGCGTTTAAATTATCTGCAGTTATTGCTGCACATTCCAATATGATTCTTTCTCTCAGATTCTCTATAGAATCTATGGGATTTGAATAAATTCTATCTTTCAAATAACCCCACAGAAAAAGTCTAGGGGACTTAAATCAGGTGAACAGGCTGGCCAACGTATTGATGTATTTGTTGCGATAACGTTATTGCAAAACTTATTTTTTAGAAACCGCACTTTTTCAAATTCTTAATTTTCGTACTCGAGTTACGATATATGAATTGCTATTGAATGATGATATGCTTACTCGTAAAAATCAGTTTCTGTTATGATAACAATGTCAAAAGGGTGTTTACCTTTACAACATAGTCATGTAGTGTTTGAGCATCTTCTTCAATAAAGACATTTTTTGAAAATATCTCGAGATCTAATAATTTTTTTGCCATGGTACCCTAATCATTTTATACGTAGAATGAACAGAAGAATCGATCTATATAAAAAAAATATGCATTTCTATTTAAAGAAATGATACAATTGTTAATTGCACATGCACTGCTGAATCCCAAAAAAAATTTAAAGGCCTACAGATGTAGTGCTCTTCGAACCATTTATCGTTTTCCTTTGGCATTTTTTCGGAAATGCAATAATAACGGAGTTATGACTTGTAACAATTGCGTGGACCACCCTGTATATCATTAAAATCAATCAGGAATGTTTTAATAAAAATGTTAATATCGAGGACGACTGTTTTTTGTTTCGAAAATTAGCTTCCTTCCTACGATGTAGGGATCTGTATAGCAAGTTCTGCTCGCGTGCAGCTGTTTATATTTCCTGCAAGTTCTCGTTAGACCGGGTATAGTTTCAGTAGCAAGTGGATAGTTCCGTGTGCATAGAGACATAAACTAACGTTTGGTGTCGATTGGTTTTGTGCAGGTCTGGGCGAGGCTCGAGGAGGACGCCTCCGCGAGGATCATCGGGCGCAGCGAAGGAGGAGGAAGCCACGACAGATCGTGCCCCGTAGCGTAGGAAGTAGAGTAGTAAAAGATGCTAGTCTTCCCGAGTAGCGAGCCACCGACGAGGATGGGATCGATGCTGTCGCATCAACGGCAACTCCGTCTGCTCCTGTCGATACTGGTGCTGCTGTCCCCCCGGCTGCCGGTCCGCTCGACCCCCGCCGACATAGTAGAAAGGTTCCACGATCCGGAGGTGAAGCGTATGAACCATCTCGTCGTGGACAAGAACACCGGTCGCGTTTACGTGGGCGCGGTGAACCGGCTGTATCAGCTCTCGCCGGACCTAAGCCTCGTAGTGAAGGAAGTGACCGGACCGAAGGGCGACTCGCCCGCTTGCTCGATGATCGACTGTCCGCGCGAGACGCCGACAAGGCTGGTGGACAACGTGAACATGGCGCTGGTGATCGACTACACGACCACCAGGTTGATAGCTTGCGGGACCCTGTCGCAGGGCACCTGCAGCGTACGAAATCTTCAAAACATCTCTACCGTCGAGCTGGAGGTGAAGGAGGCGGTGGTGGCGAACAACGCCTCGATGTCGACGGTCGCGTTCATCGCGCCCGGTCCGCCGAATCCGCCTGTCTCTCAAGTCATGTACGTGGGTGTCACTTTTACCGGCAACTCGCCGTACAGATCGGAGGTGCCCGCCGTGAGCTCCAGGTCCCTCGACCAGAACAAGATGCTGAACATCGCGCAATCCGCCGTTACCACCGGCACCAGGATGTACGTGAACTCGTTGTCGCGCGAACGGTACCGCATCAACTACGTCTACGGTTTCAGCAGCGGCGGTTTCAGTTACTTCATGACCACGCAAATGAAGAACACCAACTCGCCGGCGTACTTGTCGAAGCTGGTCCGGATCTGCCACGACGACCAGCATTATTACTCGTACACCGAGATACCGATCAACTGCACCAAAAACGACGTGTACTACAACCTCGTCCAGGCCGCGTACGTGGGCAAGGCTGGATCGGTGCTGGCCGGAGATTTGGGTATCACCGCCCAGGATGACGTGCTGTTCGCGGTTTTTGCCGAGAGCAACGGCACGAACAGCGACGTTCCCAAGCCGCACTCCGCCCTTTGCGTCTACTCGTTAAAGGCTATCAGGAGGAAGTTCATGACCAATATACAGAAGTGCTTCAGCGGGGAAGGACACCGAGGACTGGAATACATCTCGCCGAGTCACCAGTGCATCTTAACGGTGAGTCCTTGGAAATCATTTTGTAAACCGAAAACGTGCAAATCAGCAATCGTTGGCTCCCACGAAGTTGGTGAAGCCGATTATCTAGCAATTTATTAACGATTCTATAATGTAAATAAGAAAACAAGTTAATGGAGAATGTCCAATGATGATGTATAGACATTTCGGTTAAATTCTTGCGAATATGCCAAATGCAGGTCAGTTCAGTTGCAAATTCTTACAAGTTCTCACGAATTCTTGCAAAGCCCTTAAAATGTTGCACGATCTTGAAATCGAAATTCTTAGAGGCTCTGTGCAATCCTTAAATTCTTGCAATCTAAGTCCTGTTCGGTTGTTACTTAACCCTTTATCATACAATTATGAAGACGCACACTCATCAAGTCTTGTCAATTTTTACATTCACGGAGGTAATCATAAAAAGATCTGTTCTTTGTCGTGGCCATTTCTTGTACGAATAGATTTAAACAAAATTAAATAGTACACGTTTGAAAAATTGAATCTTACGTCATATAAATTGTATTATGAAAGGTGATTTGAGCAAATCGGTGTTTGCTCATCTTTCATGAGCCAGTATTCCTTAAACTACAAGTCTCACCCACTGTGGGTGGGAACGAGGGTAGAGGGCGCTGGTATCTCTGCCTGAGACACCCTTGGAGACTAATTAACGAATGCACGTCGCGTAATGACTTCACTACATGGCAATTTCTATTAATAACATGGTAAAGTTGAACAAGATCGCCAGATGACCAAATTACGTGCAGTCAAGTGATTTGGAGGGTCTTAAGCCCTGGTACTATCAAACATTTTAAGTTTGGAACCCCAAACAGCAGTTCTCATCTACGCAATATTGTATAATCGAGTCACTGTACCGTTTTGTAGGCGGTGTTTGAAAACATGAAAGCATTGTTTGCTAGAAAATGTTCCTTCCAGAGATGACTTGTTGGCTAGGTAGCCACTGTTGAGAGATGTTGACACATTACCCACAAACTAATCGTCGCGAGGGGCTAAGGGAATAATCCTAGAACCCTCCAACTGTTTAGGTTCTTGGCTTGTTTAGGGACTTGGTTCGTGATCTAATAATAACCAAGAACCTAAGAAGTGGAGAGAATTAGTTGGATTCTCCTTGCCTCTTGCGTCGTTTATACAAATTGAATAGTACAAATTGATCATCGCGTCTAGTACCCACCAGAAAACTGCATTTATGACTTCTTAGTAGTAGGTGGATCTCCATATCAGCGAGAGATACATTTTTTTGTTCTATTTATGGTTAATACTCCGAGCAATATGGTTCTATCTTACTTTGTCTTTCGTTCGCTTTGTCACGCGATAGGATTGTACTTGCGATCGACTCAGCCAATAATGACAATGCGTGTGAGGATATTCCTTGCTATTATGGCCAATCATTATATGCCTAGCTAACAAGTCATCTCTATATAGCACGTACCCTTTTCTCACAATCTTTCCAAATCTCTTTTCCATCCAACTATAAGCCTCATAGTGTCGATCGAAAAAAGGTACCTCTAAAATTCTGGCTTCTAGGTAAAAATGTAGGACCAATATTAAAGATTCAGATTTAGTTTAGTTCATTTATTAGGAATGAAAGTTGTAATGAAAATCGAATTATACTATTTTATGAGTAATTTTTGCGACGTTCGGTTTGCATCGTCACGAGGACGACAGGTACATCATCGTTAATTTAACGTCGATGGAACCGAAAATTTCTGTCGTAGAAACTATACTTTCAATATTTTGAAATTTAATATAATTTAGTGTAGCTCGAAAAAAGATTATATAAAATAACATTATTATAAATAATACTTTGACACATAGAAAGCCAAGGAAAGCCAAGAAATTCAATAATACGACGTCTGCAATCTTACGTTTACACGCAAGGTGGTTATTTGAAACACCTATTGTGAAAGTAAATAGGTACAATATATTCAAGAAGGGGCTTGAAAATGGGGTCAAATGGAACATATGTTTATATGAACTTTTCTTATTGTTATACATATACAGGGTGTCCCATGTGGGACCCAATTTAAAAATGAATTCTGCATATAGCATATATCTATCCGTTACAGTAAATTTCTAATCCAAATCACGATACTATCTCCACCCATGAGATGAAGAGTTTGATATCAAGGAAGTAATAATAATTAAACATTTTCAAATATGAAATCAAACGTAACGATCTTTCTTTCTTCCATAGAACATGATCTTTCACGTGATAGAAACGATTAATTCGCGGCGGATTCCTTTGAATCTTTTCCCGCGTAAGATGTTCGCACGTTTGAATTACACAATGCACATTCCTGACTTTTTACGCCTGTTTCACGAGCAATTTGCCTCGCAGTTAAGCACGAATTCAATGCAGCATGGAGAATTACTCTTTTCTCACTTTTAATTAATGCCGACGATCGACCGGTACTTTTTCCCCCCCCGTTTGTAAACTGTTCTCTGACATTTCTTGATAGTCGAATCAATCGTAAACATAAAAAATTCAAAATTCATTCCTAAGCGGGAAGAATCGCGTTAGCTTCTTTTTTCTCGTACCATGACTGCATAGATGCTTAGATGCATTAAACCATATCATGCGTGTTCACTCTCATAGAAAGTTCCACCTTACACCGATGATACATATGAAAGTTGTAACTGTGCTATCTTTTCGCCAGAATATTCCAAGAAACTCAAATAAGAACAATTACTTACAGCTTCGATGCGGTTTACTATGCTTTCGAATCGTGTTGTTTTCACTTTGTTGAAAGTGTGAACATATCGTTCAAAATGTGGAGATATTACACCCCCGGAGCTATCTTTTTGCCCAGGACTGTATGTGCTCGGCTAAAACCACATTTGCACGCGAATAATCGCTCTCGAGAAACGCCGCTTATTACCGCGTTGCCTGTCACGTTATTTATCCATTAATAACACGTTTCCATTGACGCGACATCGGTTTCTAAGACTCGACGTTCAAACACAAACTGAGATACAATTATTCTCATTTTTTTCGTTTTCGAACGCGAAGAGACGATCGCCTCAACGTTTCTCACAAAGAACATCCGCCTATTTCGATGAAAGCACCTTATAGAGGGTGTCAAATATCAAATACAGACAAACTTCATTAGGTAAAATCGAATCTCCCTAAGTTGAGCTGTTCGAAAGATTTCAAGATTTCCTCTAATTCTTCATAATGAAATTATACGATAAACTATTTGACACAAAGTGCATAAAAACGTAATAAAACGCATAAAACTCTCGATCAAAGTTCGATGCAGTGTGTCGAAGTCGAACTCACTAATAATAAACAAAAAAGTCACTAAAGAAACGCGAATAGATTTATACAAATAACATCATGTATTATATCATTCCTAATTAAAACAATTTAATATTATTTTAATTTTGAAACTATAAATAGGTTATTACTCGCTAATGATCTTCTAATGAGAAATATTTGGACAAAAATAAAGAAGAAAAGGAAGCAATAAAATTGGAAGAATTATTTAAATAGTTATAATCAATATTGCAATTTTAAAATTTTGTTTAATTTCTTTTTGGTTAAACAAAGTTTTCTGATATTTTTTATTAATTCACATAGGATGAAAAAAAAATACAAAAAACTTGAAATAATATTTTAAACATATTTAATTTTATGAAAATTCCAAATAATTGAAAAATTTTGTTTTCTATCAAATTACAAATTTTATCCCCGTCAGTCTCGGAATATCGAACGGTACGGACTTATGGGACGACCTAACTATGTAGAATTTTCGTCGTTAGATGTTTTTCCGGCTTTTCCGGGTGGAAATTCCCTCGGTGTGACGTTTCGCGAGTTCCGTTGAATAAAATCGGTGATTCGCGGCTCGTCAGCGTCGCGGCGTGTTTCAGGGGAAACTTGGGGTTCGATTTGCTGGTACAGACCGCGAGTTTAGGGAGCAAATTCAATAATAAAAGCGTCGTTGAAGAGGCACGATGAAAGTTGAGCGGCGGTTGGAGTGCATGAATCGCGATCACGAACCGTAAATGGATTTTCCTCTTTACGGGGCCGTCGTTGAGGCGCGCGATAACGGTCCTCCGTTTCGTCCATCGGTGTCGATTTGCATTCAAGAACGTACGGTTGCTTTACTACCGTCGGGTAATCGGTAAACCGCCATCGAGTTTCTTATCGCGTGACAGCGCCGCACAGGGGCTTAAAGAACCCCTACGAAAGAAACACGAGAACAGGGCGCGTGCTTTCTTGCTCGATTTTACACGTGCACCCACGATCGGTTCATGAACCGTGGTTGCTACACAACGCGCGCCTGAATGATCGTTTCTCATTTACATACGGCTGAATATAAAGTAAACTTTGGAAGTGGCGCGTACGGAGTCGAGCGTTGGTATTCGTACGCGTCTTGTTACAACGAGAACTAAACGTTCCGCTGCAAGTAGCGATTATAACTTGAATTATGATACACGCCCGTAACGGTGACGTATACGGTGTCCAGAAACGGCCGGTACAACTTGAAACGAGTGATTATGCGCGGAAAAAAAAACCAATCGAGTCGAATAAGATCTTTTTCGCCGCGGGGCGTCAATTTTTCTGATAACACTATATCGATCTTGTTAACAACTTTGAAACGTCCGGGTGCTACGTTTATAATTTTTGCGATATCGTTTGCATATCGCGCGAAATACGAAAATTTTCCGACGCATTTTTGGTATGCAAACAAAAATATCAGACAAATAAAATAAAAATATTGAAAGGGAATTATTACGGACGCGATCGATTTTGTTGGTTGGTGAAATCAGAATTGTATATTCACAAGAGTTTATATACAGGGTGTCCGGACACTCCTGGGATAAATTTTAATGGGAGATTTATTTCTGAATTTTTTTTCTCGAAAATGTGCAGGATTTTGGGGGTGTGTCTATTCACCAAAAATGATTGTAATTGACCCCCCTAGATAGAAATAATTTTTCCAGAACGATTTGAAATTTTTTCTTTTCACAGAAAAATTTAG